GGGCCCCCCCCCCTGGGCCCCCCCCCCCCAGAAATATACTGCTCCCAGCCCCACAGGCGAGGCCACATGGGGTCACAGTCTAGATCCCAGGGCCCTGGTGGGGCGGCCACTGTGCTCCACACATCTGCCCTCATGTCTACTCGAGGTGCTCTGGACGTGCCTTGTCTGTGTCGTGCTCTTTTCCAGGCAGGCCTGGCTGTAGGGCAGGAAGCAGGCCCATGCAGGACCCCACGGCAGGGGGCATGGGCAGCACTTCCATGGCTGAGACTGACACACAGGGCCTGATGCTGGTGATGAGTGTCCCACCTTCCAGGCTTGCTTTTGGGTAGGAGGCAGACTATGCAGTGGCTGAGCCTGGTTCTGAAGCAGAGGAAGGTGGCCTTTGGGGCAGGGACTGCATTGAGGAGTGGTCTAGGTGGTAGTCAGCCAGGCCATGCGTGGGGTGGGGAGCAGGAAGCCGTGAGGCCACCTCCCTTGGCAGCACTGCTGCTGGCAGCAAGGGCTGGTGCCTGCCCCCACCCCTCTATTGCAGGGCCTGGGCCCCACCTGCAGGCCCAGGGTGAAGGTCCTCAGACCCAGCAAGGACCAGGCATTGCATGGGCAATTCCTCCCCCTTCCCCATGACTGCGAGGGGTGACGTTTCTGGGCCACACAGTCAGGAGGGGCAGAGCTGAGCTTTCAGCCCAGGCCCAGGCTGGAAGGGAAGTCGCAGGAAGCCTGCTTTGCAGAGCCTGCTGTTTTGGGGAGTAGTAGGGAGCGTGCAGGGTTTCTGGGGGCAGAGGCCTGGACCTGTGCTCTCGAATCGCAGCTCCAGTTCCAGGGAAGTCCTGGCCACCCGAGCACGGCACTGACCTTGCCCACTGCTACCCGCTGAGGAGCCTCGCTCTCTGCTTTGGGACTGTGGGCCCAGTCAGGACCACATGGGCCATCGCCTTCCTCAGGGCTCAGGGAGAGGCAGGATGGAACCTTCGGCCCTGGATGGGGCCCTCCACTCGGCTCCTTCACAGGGACGCCCTGGGCTGCCTCTGTCCGGGGTAGGCACAAGGACTGTGAGCCACTTCCATTCCTGCCCCAACCCCAGCAGGAGGCCCAAAGCCCTGCAAAGGCTTGTCCTAGGACGGGGGGAAGGGGCCACTGGCCCAGCCTGGGCCCAGGGAGGTCCCTCTTGCTGCTGCCTCTTGGCTCCCCCAGCAACGGAGGAAGCTTCTCACCTCCCTGTTCACCTGGGCCCACTGGCCCAGCCTGGGCCCAGGGAGGTCCCTCTTGCTGCTGCCTCTTGGCTCCCCCAGCAACAGAGGAAGCTTCTCACCTCCCTGTTCACCTGGGCCTGGGCCAGCCTGTGGCTCACTTGGGAGAGTGTGGTGCTGATAACACCAAGGCCACGGGTTTGGATTCCCATATAGGGATGGCTGGTTAGCTCACTTGGGAGAGCATGGTGCTGACAACACCAAGGGTTAAGATCCCCTTACCAGTCATTTTTTAAAAAAAAAAAAAAAAAAAAGAAACCTGGGACCAAGCAAATCCCCCACCACCCTATCCTTGGACAGGGGCAGCCTCACTTGGAGGTTTTAGCCTAGAAATCTGGGTTCACCTTGGATTCTTCGCTTCCTCTCCCCACCCTACCACAGTGCCCCCTGCCCTCTGCCCCAGACAGGCCCCATCCTTACCTGGGCACTGGCTGGCCTCTAGGCTTTGTCTCCACTGCCCCAGGTCACCCTTCTTGCTGCCATCAGAATGGCAGATCTGAAAGGTCACACCTGGTCCAGGGTTCCTGGGGCCCTCAGGATGGAATATAAGGCCCCCACAGCTACACCCAGCTGCCCAGCACCTTGCCTGCCCGAACACCCGTTGCCCTGTCTGCACCAGCCTGGTCTCCTTGCTCCAGACCCTTGCCCCCACCCCCACACCTGCTAACGCTGTCCTTCTGTTCATGTCACTAGGATTCCACAAGTGACCTAGCTGGACACCTGACAAGAACCAGCTCCAGACCCTTGCCCCCACCCCCACACCTGCTAACGCTGTCCTTCTGTTCATGTCACTAGAATTCCACAAGTGACCTAGCTGGACACCTGACAAGAACCGGCTGCTCTCCAAGCTCGGGCCTTGCCCCTAGTACCCCCCAGCAAGAAGGAGCTCTCTCTCCCCCACCCCATCTCAGATACACAAGCCCGTGTCCGGGGCTCGCAGGCAGGCACCTGGCATGCTCTACCCCTCTGGGCCTTAGGCTTCTGTCATATGGAGACTTGGACTTGGGTAAAAGAAGATGGAGAAGCGTGTGAAACAACAAAACTGACCTCTGTTTCCTTCCCCAGGGCTGGCTTGGCCCTCTGCCAGCAGCCCAGGGCCTCTGGGGCAGGAGGAGAACAGTTTCATCTCTCCCTCTGTTTATAAATTACCCAAGAGAAGGGGCAGGTGGGGTCGGGGGCCAGAGTGAGGGATTGGGGGAGTGACTGGCAGCCCCTGGGGCCTGGGTGGGGCCATGACAGTGGGCTTGAGGAAAGCAAGAGCGAGACCGTGGGGGTTTCTACTAGTGGCAGGAGTGGAGCAGGGAAGAGACAGGAATCCTGACTCTGAAGGTGCTGGAGGTGGCGCCTTGTCCTCCCAGGAAGGGCTTTGACCCCAAGGACATGGGCCCCAGTGGGTGGGGCGGGGGGCTAGAGGGAGTCCCTAATTCATATTGAATTCAGTCACCCTGTTCCCCAGTGGGTGCCAGAGTTGGGGTCTCCTGCAGCCAGGCCCCTTGACCCCTGCAGGGCCTGGACTCTGTCAGGTGGAGAAGCCTTAGCCCCGGAATGCTATTTACATTTGGGAATTTTTCACTTTACCTATTTATGACTATATAAATCTTTATACCAAATCTATTTTTTAAAACATGGAAAATTTGCCTTTATGGAAACTTAGCAGAGCCAGAGTGTACACATTCCTAAACCATTAAACAGATTTCTGTACTGAGCCAACAGCTCCCAAGACTGGTTCTCTCACCTTTGAGCCCTGAAAGCTGGCCCAGGTGGCCACGTCCATAACAGGGCTGGGATCTGGTCCCACCTGCCCAGCTGGCTCCCCTTGACTGGTCTCCCTTCGACTGGTCTCCAGGCCTGGGGAGGGAGAGCGGGCTACACACTGCCCTCCTGCAGTCTGCTGCCCAGAGCCCTGCTAAAATCTTCCTTTTGCCCCAGACCCCTGTGGGACCACCTGGGCAAGAAGCAGTCAGTGCCTCGGGGCAGGAGGGAGGTAAGGTTGGGT